TTATATACAGCTTAAGTTTGCTTTCACTTTTTTTCCGCCTGTTCCAGTATTTTTCCAAGCCCGCATTGCTGATTAAATTTTTTATCGCTTGCACAGTATATCCGTGCACAGTTCTCCTTCACATAATAATTCATTTACCCATGTTCACACAGGACGATAATGATCCGTACAAAGAAACTGTCTGCCGATTTCATATCTTCCTGAAATTATCGTTTTTTGTTTCAAACACGCATTTCAAAACGTCATAACGTCTACTACCTGATGTGAACGAGACTAATTTCTTAAAGTGGGCTTAGTTTGTAGCGGAGACTTTCTACCCTTTTTACGTTGGTCCTTTACTTAAAGATACCCAATAATATTTCATTATAATTGACCAGGAATCATGAGTATTGGAGCAAGGAAATACTTCAGCATGTCGTTCTTTACCGGCTGAAGAAACTAGATGAACCTCACGTACTGCTAACTGCTCTAAGTTGTAAGGCACGCTTATTCACAAAACTCACTCCAAGCTATCCATATCGTAAAGGGACACGGCCGCGTCTGCCGAAGGATACACAGATGAATCACTTTGTATAGTAGTCCGCAGTCCAAGCCGTGCCTTATTCACAAGCACGTCTCCATTACCCCATCATGCGGGCGCCTAATTGAGCAGTTAATCAGCCCATAATTAGAGCAATAGATCATCGCTTTTAACTACACAGCTGTCTCTATCTACTAGACGGAGTTATTAATTGTTGTGGGGTTCAGTGAAGAAAATGAACGAGATATCGTCAGAGGAAGACATACGCACGCACGCACGCACGCGTGCGAACACCCACAATCGGTTGCGTGTTTTAAGCAACTTGTTCCCTCTCTCTACTTAGTGTTTATGTACGGTAAAAACGCCTTTAATGAATACACAAGTAGCTTGAGAAAAAAGCTGATACTTTATTAGACAGCATGTCGTCTGCTAACAGTAAAGTACAATGTATCAGTTTATTTTTCAAACTATTGATTACGGAAGAACTTCTACATTTCTGTTGATATTACACATCTGATGGAACTTTTCAACGATCGACAAAATATTCAAAGCAACTGAAAACTAATGCCATCAGCTTATCTTTCGTACGCACAAAGACACCACAAAAAGATGTACTTTTAATTTAAGGTATGATTAATACACACTGAACATTGGCCCTCCACCCCAAATCTCTCTCTCTCTCTCTCTCTCTCTCTCTCTCTCTCTCTCTCTCTCTCTCTGAGAGAAACCATAATTACCCTTCTTAACCTTGTACACCAAATCGAGCATCCGTGTAAATTGGGGTCGAAGAAATAAAACAAGACTGTTTTCTTAGTTTCAATGACTGTTATGACTGGCGTTGTTTATTGACGAAGTTTTAAATGCACAGTTCAGACAAGTCACGTATTAAGCTATATATTTACTTCAGACAGTGCCGCTGCACTACAACTATACGCTACACATGTATGTGTACCGGTACATGTAACTGCGCTCGCTCGAACGTGAATTTCTTTTGGTGGGAGCCAAATATGGCTGGCAGGGGAAAGTTTAAAATCTTGTCGTGGTACATGTAACGGCATGAATTCAAACCTAATGTGTGCTAATTCCGGACTCTGCAACCGTGTTTGAATCGATCTGGTAGCAAATAGCAGCGTTCTAAAATGGCTGTGAAAGCGTATCGTAATGTCAAATAATGCCCTGCGGAGACCGCATGCGACAAACTCCGCGGCGACAGTCGTAAGGCAATGCCAATTACTAGTACATTAAATAACATTAATATTCGGTTAATTAGTGGCAGCAGCAATGCTAATAACTTTGTCTCTGTGGCAGGCTCCATTGATTAATAACATCCACAAGTTGGTCGTGTGGGTTAGACGGTAACTTTTCAATTTCTCATCGTTATTTTTCATACGTCGCTTCATTCAGTGTTTAGTACAGTTTGGAGGGAAAACATAATTACAATGTTTTACTGAAGACAGTTGTCTAGAGCTCGGACTCAATATAACGCATATATCATGGACAATTGATTGAAAAAAGAACCTGCTTAAAATCTCCCTTCCACGGTCTCATCTCTTTTCTTATGACTGTCGTTGATAATGCAATGTTTTACAATGTGACGGCTGCCAAGTTATTAAAACGCGCTGCTTGAAGTCCTCTGTAAGCAAACAGTAGCTTGAAATGAAGTTACATATAAGGCAAAACACGCACACGAACGTACACAATCACTCAGTTTCGATAAATTAGTGAGTCATATTTATAGTCAAAAGGTCAAATATTAAATGCCCCTTTCCCCGCTTTATTATGAACAAGCACCGAAACCCTGCACGTAGGAAACCGCTGCAAAGCCCCTTATTTTAACGTCTCCCCACAGAACAACGCACAAAGGTTGGATGTGTCAAGACTCGTCTCTGTATCTGCCTAAACGAACACATTTTCCCTATGATTAAAATTTATTTGTTCGCTTGACATTTATGAGTCACAGGTTGCAGTGATGAGCCGGTGTGTGATGAAAGGCGGTTAGCGGCCTATTCACACCTCACCTCAAGCCGAACCAGATTTGGAGCTAATACTTGGTAGTTAAAATAAAATAGTTTCAATTTTCAATGTGTTACTTATAATTTTAATTTAAATTAGCCCGGGACTACAGTATGTCGTCTGAGTATCCTGTCCACTTCGTCTTGCAGAGAAACGTGACTTACAATCATCGTTGTTTGAGACACATGTTCTTCCATAGACTTTTCTACTCCAATCTTTCTCGATTATGACGGCGAATCACTTTAAGGTCCTCAGTGCTACTGTGGGTAAAACAGTATAGATAACAGGTTCTCGCTTTTAAGATAATGCATTTTGGCAAACATGATTAAATCAGAGTCAAGCCGAGCCAAGTATTTCCAACGTAAACGGAGCCTATGTCATACAAAAAAGCAATTATGACTGAAATTACTTTAAAACGGCGTTAATAATATCTGACCTTTGATTGGGAGTAATTGAGCGAGTAATATATCAGTTGAGAATGAAGATTAATTCATCTAGGGGAGAAAAAAGGTAGAGGCTGGGTGAAATATTGGAAAATAAACATTTTCACTACAATCCATGGAGAAGACCCGCATTGAATGTGTTGGAGCACCCAGTTCCATTAATGTAAGCGACTCTAACCCGGATGATATATCAACACAAAAGTCAAAAAATTGCAAACTAAGTAACACAAAGGTCATATTCACAATAATACTTAACACGTTTCCGTTTTGATTGCACTTAATTATTTTATATAAAGGTGATTCTGGCGGTTCCGAATAAGGCACAAAGTCTACCTAATTTTAATGAAATATGCTTATATGAAGTCTGATTTTTATACTATTCCTCATGCACAATCTTGCTCACAGTTTTAAAAACCAATTTTAAAGTACCTTCCAGATATTTTAATTTTTTTGGTAGCCTGAGAATCACTTTATGTACCCTCAGCTGCAATTTTTAATTTAGTTTTTGTTCTTAAGACAACAAAACGGCAGCATAATATTGTCCTTTAAAATGTAGCATTTCACCGGTGGCGCAGCTGTCCAGGCTGTAAAATTAACAACATAATTATCTCCTAAATGGCAGACAACTTGCTGATTAAAATCCAGACACTGCATGACATTTTGATCGTAATTCTTTTGAAACAAAATATAATTTTGATCGTATTCGAATAAACCAGACTATAACAAAATGAAAATTATGACGGCAAAATCAATAAAAGTCAAAGCACGATTTTTTTAAAGCAGTGACTTAATAGCGGATTATGTCACGGTACTGAGAAATTTTGGAGCGCGCCTTTCACGAGCCTTGTTGTATTTAAGGTTCTTGTTTTGTTTGTAATAAGAAGAAGACATAAACATCATAAATCTATAATAATAATATTTCTTGATCAAATTATTATTATTATTATTATTATTATTATTATTATTATTATTATTATTATTATTACTGTTTTTTTGTGTATTAAAACATTTGTTATTAGTCTCAATGAATTGGGAAATCTTAGTGTTTTTTTCGAAAATTTGAATGATTTTTTAGTCCCAGCTAGCTCGATAATTAAACCATTGTGTAATTTGAAAACAATTTAATATAAATAACAATCAAACAATTTCATTTATTTACCCAAAAGACAAGTTCCCCGCGAATTCTTACCAAAATTATAAAATCATGGTAATATAATATTTGCTCCCGTTAATTAAGTGTAGTTGAAAAAAAATTAATTTTTATTTTAAAATTGATTGATAACCTATATAATAATTTGGCCCAGTAGTCTTAACAAAATGGCAGTGTATCTGTATAAATAACTGTCACGACAGAAATTTAGAGCCACCTGCATATTTGCGCGTTTTTCACCTAGACGAACTAATATAGCTTTTAAATCATAACGGCATTAAAAGTGTCAGGCTGAACCAAAGTGGCATGCAGACTATTACCCGCTTTTATTCGTGTACTTCTGTTTTATTATATACGGGTGCATTTTTCCTTGAGTATCGAGATACTGGTGGCTTTTGCACTAGCGACCACATATACGTGTATAAAAACCTAATAAAACCCTGGATAGTTTCAATTAAACTGGAAAATAATTTAACTACAAAAGAAGTACTACATTTAGAGTTAAAATCCATTGCCAACCAAGAACTTTACAAGCACTAACATCTTTTTTATAATCTCGGTACTTCGGTTGTTTTTCACACCTAACAGCGTCAGATGATATTTTAGGTGTATGTTATATAATATTTTGGGAATTAATTAAGACTTATCAGTGAAAAGTCTGTCCTGTTTTATAATTACATTCATGTTTATTATTATTATTATTATTTGAGGTAATATGAGTAACTCCTAGCCAATTTTTCCAACTATTTGAGGGAGTCGCGGGTAAAATAATTTCTGTCTGATGTGCTTCGCATTAAATTTGCCATGAAAGATGGGGATTTATTTCTTAATTCAACTTACAAATTATTGAAAATATTAACCGATGTGCACGTACCTGGTTTTGTCAACTCAACGGAAGTTCCTGGGCAAGTCACACTGGTTTGGGACGCATGCACCGTGGTGGACGTTGACAACGCCAGCGCCGACGACGCAGCAACGCTGGAGGTCAAACCTCGTAGCGTGAACGTAAACGCCGACTTGGAAGACGTGTGAAGATACCTGCCTTGGTCCTCGCTCGTCGTTACGGGGCCCGAGCGAGTCACTGCCGGCGTCGCGAGGTGAAACCTGCTTTCACTGTCATACGGCCTATAAATGGACCCAGCTAGCGACACGGTTCCTGGTGATACATGTCCGCCGCAGAGACCGTCGGACGCTGTCCCTGTAAGCCCGGGGTGAGAGAGATAGCCCCCATACAGTAGCGGGAAATGCGTTGACAGACGTGCGCTTTGTGCGTCTGTGCCGTCGCTTATGGCGGGTTGCGTAGACGTCGTGGAGGGCGACGTAGGTGCAATTAAGGCGTCTATCGTAAACGAAGCTCCGGGTTTTCTCTGCATCTTTCTCTTTTTTCAACGTTAACAGATTAATTATCCATGATATAATGAACCGGGACCGATGACCTACGGTGATGGATCACATTCGATTCCCTGACTTCGCTCCGAAATTCAGGTCCTTGATTACAGAGAAAACGTCAATAGCACCTACACGTGTCAACAAGATTTACCACTCCTGTACCTATATATCGTATTCAAACAGTCGGATAAAGACTTTCCATCAGCCAAAGATTATCACTGCCTCTTCTTAGGCAATTGTTCTCCCAAAATTTTGCCGTCGAATTACCATTAATGAATTTTCCCTCTAAACAACCTATGAAACAGAGATACAGTTATAATGCGATATGTCAAAGGCTGATGTCACGGCTTTCCAAATGATGCGTTTTCATGTACATCACAAAGAATAACATGCACCCACATGCTCTTCGACAAAATTCCCTTGCAACTATGTCCTCTGTATCTGTCTTTCCCTGGCTGTCGGGCCCAACACGTCACCTATTATTTTGCCGTTGAAATCTGCTCTATGGCCGTACCGAATCACGTTGTGCTTGTTCAGCTTAACAAGAACGTTCTCCCTCTTGGTATTTCGCCTTTCAAAACGTCTGCTATCTGGAGACCTCGAAGCCAGTAATGTCGATGCGCAGTAAAATATCCAGTTTTGTAATGTCAATGCCCAGCTGTGGGCTCTATGTATCTAAAGCGGGTAACCCTAGCTCGACGCCCGTATTCACTTTGTTTTAGTTGAGTAAAGTTATTCCATGGGATTATTTATCAAACGGATTCCCTGGCTGTTCGATCTGGCTGCGGTGTTGACTTAACACGGAGTAATTAACCTCCTACGTAGACCGTGCAAGCGCTTTGTTTTTAACGCAGCAGATTTTCTTAATGAGACCAATTTCGAATTCATTTCTGTCCCGCTGTTCCGTCCGACATTGTTTTGGTAAGTGGTTAGTTTTGAATAAATGTTTGTAAAAGCACACTCTGTGTTCAAATTAATGGGCGAAGTCGTCCAAACGTTCTCATCGGCGGGATAATGTTCCTACTTATGTTTTTTCATCGGCGACCTAGCTGTCACGATGATGCTGAATTATGAAAACGAGTTGCAGTAAAGCTCGGTTGTTTTTTCTCTGCAGAAACCTTACAGCAGACTTGTGCTTGGTTCCCCGGTTGTGGTTTTGAACAAACACCCTGCCTGCTTGCCTTGAGCTAGCATTGAAAAGTAATTACGCTAAAGCTACGTACTATCTTTTACACTGCTGATTCTATCAGTGCACAGTAAATTGAGGGGTGGTCTTTAGCTCTGTCATCTATCTTTCTTTCATTTCGCTCGTTGTTATTGTTCTATCTGTCAAACTCAGTCCTCAAATCCCCATGAGGTATAGATCGAGTTTCCTGATTGGTTCATTGTTGGACCGAGGTCGCACAGAGCGACTACCGACGTCAGTCGTCCTGCTGAGACGTGCTCTCTGATTGGTCAAGACAAATGAGGTCTGTCACGAGGCCCCACCAGATTCATCAACTTAGATTAATAGAGATTAATGAATAATAATCGAAGTCTACACTATACTACTGGGAGGCATAAAGCGAACTGGTTGACTCGCAGCTCGCAGTTGGTCGCAAGCCTCGGAGACATTTTCTTTGTAGCCTACCGCATTTTTCGGAGATCCTTTGAGCTGACCCTGTCAGGGCTTTAACACTTGCACTAGAGTAGACTGTAATGCAACTTCACCTAAAACAGCTTCGTTTTNGCAATTAAGGCGTCTATCGTAAACGAAGCTCCGGGTTTTCTCTGCATCTTTCTCTTTTTTCAACGTTAACAGATTAATTATCCATGATATAATGAACCGGGACCGATGACCTACGGTGATGGATCACATTCGATTCCCTGACTTCGCTCCGAAATTCAGGTCCTTGATTACAGAGAAAACGTCAATAGCACCTACACGTGTCAACAAGATTTACCACTCCTGTACCTATATATCGTATTCAAACAGTCGGAAAGAGACTTTCCATCAGCCAAAGATTATCACTGCCTCTTCTTAGGCAATTGTTCTCCCAAATTTTGCCGTCGAATTACCATTAATGAATTTTCCCTCTAAACAACCTATGAAACAGAGATACAGTTATAATGCGATATGTCAAAGGCTGATGTCACGGCTTTCCAAATGATGCGTTTTCATGTACATCACAAAGAATAACATGCACCCACATGCTCTTCGACAAAATTCCCTTGCAACTATGTCCTCTGTATCTGTCTTTCCCTGGCTGTCGGGCCCAACACGTCACCTATTATTTTGCCGTTGAAATCTGCTCTATGGCCGTACCGAATCACGTTGTGCTTGTTCAGCTTAACAAGAACGTTCTCCCTCTTGGTATTTCGCCTTTCAAAACGTCTGCTATCTGGAGACCTCGAAGCCAGTAATGTCGATGCGCAGTAAAATATCCAGTTTTGTAATGTCAATGCCCAGCTGTGGGCTCTATGTATCTAAAGCGGGTAACCCTAGCTCGACGCCCGTATTCACTTTGTTTTAGTTGAGTAAAGTTATTCCATGGGATTATTTATCAAACGGATTCCCTGGCTGTTCGATCTGGCTGCGGTGTTGACTTAACACGGAGTAATTAACCTCCTACGTAGACCGTGCAAGCGCTTTGTTTTTAACGCAGCAGATTTTCTTAATGAGACCAATTTCGAATTCATTTCTGTCCCGCTGTTCCGTCCGACATTGTTTTGGTAAGTGGTTAGTTTTGAATAAATGTTTGTAAAAGCACACTCTGTGTTCAAATTAATGGGCGAAGTCGTCCAAACGTTCTCATCGGCGGGATAATGTTCCTACTTATGTTTTTTCATCGGCGACCTAGCTGTCACGATGATGCTGAATTATGAAAACGAGTTGCAGTAAAGCTCGGTTGTTTTTTCTCTGCAGAAACCTTACAGCAGACTTGTGCTTGGTTCCCCGGTTGTGGTTTTGAACAAACACCCTGCCTGCTTGCCTTGAGCTAGCATTGAAAAGTAATTACGCTAAAGCTACGTACTATCTTTTACACTGCTGATTCTATCAGTGCACAGTAAATTGAGGGGTGGTCTTTAGCTCTGTCATCTATCTTTCTTTCATTTCGCTCGTTGTTATTGTTCTATCTGTCAAACTCAGTCCTCAAATCCCCATGAGGTATAGATCGAGTTTCCTGATTGGTTCATTGTTGGACCGAGGTCGCACAGAGCGACTACCGACGTCAGTCGTCCTGCTGAGACGTGCTCTCTGATTGGTCAAGACAAATGAGGTCTGTCACGAGGCCCCACCAGATTCATCAACTTAGATTAATAGAGATTAATGAATAATAATCGAAGTCTACACTATACTACTGGGAGGCATAAAGCGAACTGGTTGACTCGCAGCTCGCAGTTGGTCGCAGGCCTCGGAGACATTTTCTTTGTAGCCTACCGCATTTTTCGGAGATCCTTTGAGCTGACCCTGTCAGGGCTTTAACACTTGCACTAGAGTAGACTGTAATGCAACTTCACCTAAAACAGCTTCGTTTTGGAAGCAAAAAAGGAGAGGAGAGAAAAGAACTTGAGTGATATTTGGAAAGTGAAAACATGCCACCACTTGTGCATGAACGAATTGGCAGAGTGGAAATTGGTATCTATCCGATTAATGAAAAAAATACCGTGGAATTACAAATTTCCAAAACGGTTTCACTGACTTCTTCCGCACCCTTCATTCATCACATGAAGCCAAACTAATGTTACAAACCAACTGTTCTTTATCGAGTCGTTCTTTATTGAGTCAAGTCGTTAATTTTGAATTTACATTGAAGGTGGATCGCCATGCATGTACCCCTGTAGTCCGCTGACATACAATAGCAAAACGGCCTCAAAGCCACTGAGACTGTGACTGCTTTCATAATTTCTAAAAAGAGGCTCAATCGTCAACTTGAGGTTGTTTTCTATAATGCTATGACAGGCTCGTCGGCATTGCTGACCATGACATCCCCGCGCATCCTGCTTACATTGAACAGCAACAGAACCTTTAGAATGCACTGGGCACGCTTCGACAAGCAAGGTGATGGACTTTCTCTCGAAGATAAAGAAAAGACACAGTTTGGCACGCAGACTACATGGTATTAATATGTCACACACAAGACTAATATGTATTCGAGGAAATACAATAAAAGAGCATAAAATGATGGTTAAACTGAAATTTCTCAACGACGTGTATCAAATGGGCCAGTCTCATTTTCCAAATTGATACATGTCCTTTTACTTGTGGTATTGGGGAATAAATTGCACAGACAGTTGTAAAGTCGTGTGGTATGAAGTGGGCCAATAGGTTCCTAATTCCTGTGTGTTGGGTGTGAGTACAAAAGAGTGTGAGTGTGTTCCAGCTCATTTTATGAGGAAACTGGCAACGACTCCCATGTACACTACTTGCATGAACAGATTTGTGTAAAAACAGACAACGCACAAACTTGTGATAACACGGCTGAGTGGGCAACAAACTGCCAGAGTAAAAATATTTAAAATAAAACAAAGGTATTTGAGTGGTAGAAAAGAAAAATACAAAAACAGTAGAAATGGTAGAATAATGTATATGAGAAGCATAAAGCAATGGGATTTTTAATATGGAAAGCTGGTTTGCCACAAGTTACCTGTTCCGGTATTGCGGCACTGTGATGCTGGGGGTGCTTAGGGCACCAGGACACCTTAACCCGGGCCTGCCTTTACCTGACAATGTATTTTGGGTTGATTAAAATAAGAGCTTTTTATATTAACTAAATATTCTAGCTTGATTTGACTTTGGGTTTAAAAAATCGTAACCCATTTAAGAAGTCATCTTGGGTCCATTTCACAAAGGATAAAAAATGCTAAGGTTAAGTCAGACATTTGCTGTATACCTGTGGACTACATAGTATTTATTACAGTCAAGGTACCGGCACATGTAGACTCAAATGTTCGAACTTCAGATTTTAACTTTTTTGTGAACCCACCCTGTTTTTGGTTCTCGAAGTCTACCGAGTTCGGACAGACATTTATTGCATTTTAAGGAAATATACATGTAAAAAACTCTAAGGCTCCATTTTAATAGACATCATCGGTGCACATGGATCGACCTCTGCAGGGACTCTCGCTAAGTGGAATCAGCTTAACTGAATGACATGCCTCCTCTTGTTTCCAAAGTACTTGTATAATCACCAGCTTTTTTTCTGTATTATACTTAACGCTAAGAGGAGGCGTGACATTTAATTAAGCTGATTGCAGTCAGCAAGAGTCCCCGCAGAGTTGGGTCGATCCACGTAGAGCGATGGTGTCAATCTAAATGGGGCCTTACAGAGTGCATGTAGATAATGATCTCTCTGTGTTTTCGTAATGGTCATATAAAAGTATATCTTACATAAAAAAATGAAGTTTTCATGAAGGAAGACAATGATAATGATTAGCGTGACGTCAGCAGTGACTTTTCTATTAGACAATGACGACTCTGTATATTTTGGAACCTGAACCATAGGCTCAATTTATAAAAATTAATGATTAGAATTAAGTAAAGAACGATGCAACTGACCTTTTATAATTTTTTTATAAGTGACATGATTTTTTTTTTTCTCATATGTTACAGGCCCGTAAGTATTAATCAGGGATGTGAGAGCACCTGCAAAATCGCAACATGATTGAAAGCTGTCTAAGATACAATTATGTCTACATGTACTAGTATATATAATTGGGAAACCAAATTTCCAAATCTATATAAAATGTCGCATCAATCGTGGTATACTGTTTCTTGAAAAGAAACTGCTCGTTGCGGCTAAAATAATGCCATATTTACTTATTTTGGTAATACGATCCGGTATATTTATAAATATTTGATATACGATGATGAATTAACCTATCGAAATTGTTACAATGAATTGATTCCAGTGAACAGATGTGGTAAATAATCAGGTTAAATATTGTCGTCTGATTTCCGAGTACAGCATCGATGTATCCAGAGAGAGAGAGAGAGAGAGAGAGAGAGAGAGAGAGAGAGTGAGAGATTTCCTTTGAGATAAGCACGAAGGTAATTGCCACTTTGAAACCAGGCGAGAAATGAGAACAGCATTATGAAGCGTGCCTAATCTTTCCTAACGCCGAGAAGAAAGGAGAGAAAAGTGAAAAGATGAGGTTCACTAGCGGGTTAATGGACAAGATGCTATCTCGCGTGTTGTCGGAGAAGTTAAAGGGGTGTATTTTATCAACTTTTGTGGCGTTGGCTCGATGATGGATGGTGG